AATCATTTAAATCACTTTAAATCATATAAATCACTTTAAATCATTTAAATCGCAGCTCGCTGTTTCCCCCTTGGTCTAAGCAGATATACCGGAGTAACACTGACAATTTATGTCTAATTGGATTTTGTTGAATCCGGGCTTCTTGAGGTTTTTGCTGTTATAAAGTGTTGAAATACTTCTAACAGACAAATGAAGATTTTTATGTTTGAAAATCATAGGTGATTTATAATTAGGTTCATCATCATCTAAAATATGAGATGTGACTACGAAATAAATGAGCAATAATGCACATTTATATGCTATTATGGAACGTTTTGTGGGACTTTATTTTCTATTACTCTCTCTATTATTGAGCCTTTGTTTTCTTTTATTATTTCACTGATGGTAATCAGAGACGAATCGTTAAAATGAAATCTAATTTTCTTTATTTGTATTTTTCAAGTAGTCCATATCACTACAAAAACTACTTTTCATTTATATTCAACATCCAAAAATTTACAAATAAATCAATACATATATCTACAGATTATACATTTCAATTCAAGCTTTTTTACTAATTTTACAGTGCAAATTTGGAAAAAAATTTAGAAGAGTATCCGTTGGATTAGTAGACGAATCAACAAATCGAATCAATTCGATTTTTGAACAATTATTTCTAGCTTCTTCTTGATATTGAGTGACTATTGTTGAGAGTGGTTCATAGTGAATGAGGAGTTCTACTAAACATGGAAGACGAGTTCGACAAAGAAGTTGTTCAGCATAATCTATATGTATATCGTACAAGATAAGTGTAGCCAAATGAGGAAATTCAATCAAATTTGTTGTTATCGTTGTTTTCTCTTGTTGTTCAAGTTGATTAAATACTTCGAGTGATTTAAGATGAGGTAAAGCTCGAGAAACAAGTCCAAAAAAACTATTTTCAAAAGGTTTAATATCATCGAACAGTAGTAACGTAGTAACATTTAAAAATGTATTTCGATTATCGTCGAAAAGTGGAAAACGATTTGAGATAAAATCAAGACGAGTACCAATAAATGGAAGTGAGAAAATTTGACATTGACCACAATCATTATTAAAATAATCAAGTATACAATCAACAGATTGTTCTCGTTGGACAAAACTTTGACGAATTGTATCGATATCTATATGAGGAGCGCGTGGCACTATTGAACGAATATGAAAATCAAATTGACGTAAATGAGGCATATGAGAAATAATATCTCTTTGTAAATCGAGTCCATCAATAAAGTGATGCGACGCTGATGTATCTACACCAATAGCCAATAATAATGTCAAAAATTCAATAGTTGACAAACGTTGTAAAAGAGGAACAATACATTGTTCATATTGAGGAATATTACGATAACTTGTTATTGTTAATTCTTTCAAATAAGGACAGGATATCTAAATGGAATCAATTTATTGAAATATTAAATTGAAAAGAAATATTTACCGATGTCATTCGTGATATCATATTGCTTTCTCGTATACTGCTATAGACAAGACTCACAGTGAACGAGTACAATTGTGAGCCTAACTGATTGAGTAAATGAATACAATCATCGAAATAACGTAATGTGACACGAATATGAGTAAGATGAGGTGATTGAGGAAAGAACAAATCGTCATCGCTGACTAATCTTGGTAGAACGCAATCTTCATCAAGTTCGAACGAAATAATAGAACGCATAAATCGTGAACACCGAAAATTAGATATGGTTCGACCATGAGCAGTTTTCTCAAAACAAAAAAGTTGAGGTGCTACTGAGAACAGATGTCGATGGTGCATTTCACTAATCATATTGTTACCTGAAAGTATATGATTATCAGCTTTATGAAACAATATTTATAAATTTTACAGATTAAGATAAACTAAAAAAAGCTGTCGTTTAAATTTATTTCACAACTATAATCTTTGTATAAGAATTTCACAGATGTAGAGAGCAATGCTAAAGAACTTTGGTAACTTTCTTCATTCAAACTTTTGTGGAATACAATTCTAACACAGTTCTGTATTAATGATTTTTTCTCAAAAATGTTTCAATTTAAAATCAAATTTTTAAAAGTCTCGAATTATTATTTTTCCATTTTTATCTGAGCAGAAAATAAGTCAGAAGTGACATTTGAATACAGATTAGAAAACCAAAACGAGTAATATAGTTTACCTAATATAAAAGATGTGCCTGTTATACTACATTTCTTGCCAATCATTATTTTTAAATGTGTCAGTTTTGGAAAAGTTCCATCACAGTTTTCTTCAGCAAAGGTACAAATACGTGAGAAATGCTGAAAGGTGAATGCAAGCGATTGAATATTGTTGTAAATACGAGGCAAAACATGTGAATAAAATCGTTCCATAAATTGTTTATGAGGTGATTTGTAATAATCAAAAGTTAAATCGATTGAATGACATGTGTCTAGTGCAAGCTGTTCTAAACGATTATTTCCAATGCCAATAATAGAACAAAGCAATAAGACTTGAGGTTTGACTTTATGCATAATAACGAAGATTAATTCGTCGGGCAGATCAAGTAGTTCGATCATATTTTTGTTTCAGAAGAAAAAAAAAAAAGGTACATGTGCAGAATGAGTACACCGTCAATACATATAGACAAAGACAGAACAGAAAAAATATTTCTTGGATAAGTAGCACACCACTGTTGAATGAAAATGTTGATTTACGATAAGAGATAAAAAAATTACTACCGATAGAATACG